CTTGATCTTTCCCAACTTAGACATGCATAAAACAAACATAGTAGTACGAGCTTCTTTGTGCAGAGGACTAATTGTGCAGGTGGTTAATATGAACTCGCAACCACGCAGTACCTCCACCAGTACTAGGACACCATCTTTAAAAGATCCATCGCCAGCCGGACTTAAACCGGTAACTATTCCTGTCGATTGCGAGCGTGCTGAATCAAAGAGTCCCACGAATGCGAATAGTAACAGAAATACCCGAACTATGTGTTTGCCAATGCACGAGCTGCTATATAATAGAGCAGTCCCCCCTAAATTTACTTTCATTGGAAGTTAAAGAGAAAATACAGGCACAGGGGCTGATTTTGATGGTCAAATGTTGATAGTCTATAGTGATTGTAAAGGAAGGGAACTTTATATCGTCGAAAGGTATTCAGTTGTTGGCTATTTTAGTAAATATTTATATATGTTCGAAATTTTTATACAAATATGCGTAGCCTTGGCTATGAAATGTCTATGTACTACGATCGGAGAAAATTGTGATAATATGACACCGAAGTCCACAGCTATTTACATATTTACGTAGTGCCGCTGAGGCCTGTGAGGCCGAGTCCGCTGAGACCCTGAGATTTGACCAGACGCCTTTTTTGATGATTTAAAAATTCTCAGAGAATCTATTTTCCCCCCTTTTCATTTTTAGGGTTACCGCAGTGACCAATAGCAAGTCTAAAATTCATTTTTATGATTGCTTGCAAGTTGCAGCCTCCTTGCACTTCGCGTCGTTGCGTCTTGCGAGTTGTCAGTTGCGGCTTGTGCTAATCTCTGGTGTATGAAAGTGTTTTTTAATTAAAAAAAATAAAGAACAAATAGAAGGCCATAATGAAAGTGATGGTGACTTGAGTGGTGAGTGTAACGTGGCCTGTCAGACTGTCACAGTGTCACAGTGTCACAGACTCACAGTCTCACGACTCACATTGTAGACGGGGCCACTTGGACCCAGGGCGCCTGGGCTTGGGGTGGACGGTAGACTCTCGTCAATACAGTAGAGGTGCTTCATCGGTATATATGAGTCACTCTCTACTCTATCTTAGAGTAGTAGTAGTCACTATAAATTAAAGTCAGTGGCCCAACAGCCCCAACTGTCACAAGTCACAACTTCATCGTTCTTGATTCTCATTTTGATGATAGTCGAAACTCGTAAAACTCTATAACCGATCCGCGTTGATGAGTCATCCCTTGATGTATTATAGTATCAGCTCCCTTTTTCACATTTACTCGGGAAACTCTATAATATTTTCTAAAAACAATACTAAAAATATTATAGTCAAGGGTTTTAGGGTTTAGAGCCCTAAAACCCTAAACCCTAAAACCCTTCATAAATCTCAATTCTCAACAATTCTCAACTTTTCAACTCTCTAATTTTTTTTAAAAACAAATATTTACACTTCGAGATAGGAGATGTAAACATCAAATACTGGACTTATTAACCCGGGAATTTTCCTATACAAATATATTGAAAGTGTACGACCATCAGTATGACCTATTTTCCACCAATAAAACCACATAGATTGTAGACACAGACTCATACTTTTTTCAATTTTATTTTATTTTATTTAAAAAAATAGTACGTATATTGTGTAAACCAGCCCATTTATTGCACTTGTGTTAGTTCTTTGTCGGCTTTCAAAGCTCGACAGACGTTAGACACGGATAGTGTCGTACCATAAGCGTTCTCTAGCTTAGTAATCGCTTCCCCAGCAGTGTGAGTTCAAATCGTTCAATCTGTTTGATCAAGCCATTGACCTGTGGAGATTTTGTGGGATTCCCCTTTTCATTAACACAGTCCCATTCATTGTTTTTGCGTGGCATGAACCACGATATTGCCCTCTTATAGTACTGGATACCATTAGATCTTTTCAGTGTAGGTCTATCATTGGGCCCAGGTTCTTGAACTCCGAATGCAAGTTCACAAAAGTACCGGCACAAATCTTCTGGTTAGATGGCCAGAAGGATGTCTCTCAGTGCAATATTGTTGTCTTTAAGATTGACATGCTGACCAAAATTATAGTCCGGTCTAAGCCACCGTAAGAACTTACGGGTGATACTATCATATACTATTATATTTGAAGGGCTAGGCCTGACTATACTGCAGATTTGTGTGTGTGATTTGTGCGCGTGTATTCCTCAATATTTTATGTACGACCCAGTTTTTGTAAAATTCCTTAAACGGTATATCCAGTTAATGTCATAGGCAGAGTTTACGATGTCCAACTGAATTCCGTCTGCAGCCAGAAAACAACGCGGGTCGCACAAAGTCGTAAAACCCGTACCTTAATTACGATCTGGCGTATGACCAGCCCGAGCAAAGTCAAGGATGTTCACCACCACGGAGTCGAAAAATATTACGACCTACGGATGGTAAATTTGTAATATATCAGTCTCAGGCACTCTAAGACCAATGGCAGGCTGCTGTGGACCTGTAGATCAAAATATATTACTGAAGAGTATGACCCCGGTCGTACGACCGAAACAATATAGAGGGTCTATGGTGGGTTATATATAGCTAGCGAGTCTGAATGTGTATATCGGGTACCTCACATTCTCACTGGTATAAAAGGTACTGGTTAGAATATGAGGTACCCGAAATACACGTGCAAATTCGCCATACATTAAAGTAGTATGCTATATTGCCAGGAAGGTCTGTTGGGTATGGATGGGCTTATATAATGTCTACGGGCGCCTAGTTTGACCCAGTTCTGGTACAAACTCGAATCTTTGATAACTTTTGAACCAATAGTCCAATCGGGATGAGATTAAACATACGTTTATTACTCGTTAATACGAATAATTTGAGTCAACTATCTGCCAATGAAATAGATTTTTTTTAGTGTACCACTGGGTCAACCTCTATAGTAAAAAACCCCCGGGTTAATAAGTCCGATATTTGATGTTTGCCGCTCCTATTCTTGAAGACATTTTTTTCTAAATAAATATTTAGGCCTTAGCTGATGAAGACAGTTCAAACTTCAATGACCGTCTTTTGTTTGTAACCCTTTTTATGTTCTATGCGTGTATTTTATGTGTTTCTGTATGTATCTCAGAAGGTTAAGAAATTTATTTATTTTTTAGATACAATCAAAACACTCTTCTGAAGTTCTGTGTTCTTTTTCTCAATCTCAGAGTGTTTATTTTTTTACTTTTTTTTATATACATATGTATGTATACAGTACAGTGCATACGTTGTACATATATAAAATTATATTATTTTTAAACAAAATACATACTGAATTACTGATTACTGAACTCTGAACTCTAAATACCACTAGTCTGAACTCTGAAGTTCTGAACTCTGCTGATCTCATCGGAGTATAAGATTTTTTCTTTTCTTTTTTGTCTTTACTCAAGAGAGTCTCGGGCTCTCAGCTCGCGCCATGTCACATTCCAACGATTGGTCATAAGCTTGATGAAGTTCTCGAGTATCGACTTACAGTCAGAGGCGCCATACATGATGACTCTTATTGGATACTAACCTCTCTCACTTAAAAGTCAAGTACGCTTCCTGAGATCTTCTAATGAGGTTACTTTACTTCGTATCCAATGAAACCTCGATTATATCGGCTAAATCCGAAATCCAGACGATATATATACTAAAATGAATATACGATGCAATGATTGGCCTATTTGATTTTTTAGGATAGGCTAGAAGAAAAATCGATTTATAACCAAAAGTCCAAAATATTTATACCTAAAAGTTCAAAACTCTAAAATAAATTAGAGAACATATTCATACTTCCGAAGAAGTATATTTATTTTTATATTTATTTATTTTAAATCTATTGCTTACTTTTTTTTTATTTAGATAATAATAAAAACAAAAGTTGAACGTATTCAATTTTATTTTTACATTTGTTGTACAACACAATCAAATATGGACTTGAGAAGTTGAGTCTGAGAGAGACTCCCAATAAACTTTAGGATGGCCTTTAGACTTTTTTAAGACTTTAGGACTAAGTTTAGGGTCTCCGAAACAGACTCTCCACCTACATGATTTCTTTCTAGATCCCCGAGTCGACCCGAGTCCAGGACTCTGGGACGCGTATTTCATATATTCAGCTGCCACTTGAAACTGAATATGTTCCCCGAGTCCGACTCAGGCCCCAACACGTCCAGGGATTGTTTGTACTTTGTAGTGTGGAGCCTATATAAACAAGATTGCTTCGCACTTTGCCATCAATACCACATATTTTAAAGAAAAGGAGGATAACGTACATTGTACATATATATTGCAATATGACTAACGCGCTCGAGGACCTATACTTCAAACCGTACTATCTAGGTTGTCTAGCGCATGCCTCTTACCTTCTGTGCCACAAAGGCAAGGCTTTCGTGATTGACCCCCGGCGCGATGTAGACGAGTACATATCCGACGCCAAGGCGGTGGGCTGTACAATTGCGGGTGTATTTGAAACACACACACATGCAGACTTTGTTTCCGGCCACGTAGAGCTCAAGTTTAAGTCGGGTGCTGATATATATATATCTGGCGAGACCGAGGTAGGGTACGAGCACGTTGGGCTCAAGGATAATCAAGTTGTTGAGCTGTCCGAAGATTACTCGTTGAGAGCTATGCATACACCTGGGCACACGCCCGATAGTATGACTTTTGTGTTGCAGCAGAGACAAGCTGGGGGTAAAGCACGGGATATCAAAGCTTTCACTGGTGATACCTTGTTCATTGGGGACTGTGGTAGACCTGATCTGCTAGGTAGTATTGGTTGGACAGCCACAGACCTGGCCACCATGCTGTATAAATCGTTAAATGAACGTGTTATGTCCTTAGATGATGACGTAGAGGTTTGGCCAGCACATGGAGCCGGATCTGCGTGTGGAAAAGCTCTGAGTGATGACCGCAGCAGTACTATAGGCAAAGAAAGAGTTACAAACCCCGCTATTGAGTGTGATACGCTGGAAAAGTTCATCGAATACGCGACTTCTGGTCAACCACATAAGCCCCAGTACTTTGCACACAGCGTGGCTATGAACAAGAGTGCGGACCCTGAGACTATTGACAATCTCAAGGAGAAGGTGAAACATATGAGTGTTGACGAAGTGCACGACGCTATGCACAACAGCACTCAAGCGACCTATGTGCTAGACGTCCGACCGGCTGAAGAATTTGCACAGGCACATATACCTCAAAGCATGTCATTTTGGCTGGGATCTCCTGAGGGAGTGGAGGTTAAAGCGGAAGACGGTATGTTTGCATCGTGGGTGGGTACCATGATGGCCCACGACCGAAATATCATCATAGTTGCGTCGCAGGGGCGGAGTGACGAGGCCATCACACGCTTGGCGAGAATTGGCTATCACAATGTTATGGGCGTGCTGAAGGGCGGCATCGACAGTTGGGCCGAGAGTGGAAGGGCATTAGATAGTTTCTCTAGGAAAGAAGCTAGCGAGCTTAAGCAATTTTTTGCAGACGGGAGTCGTGTGATAGACGTGCGTACAGAACCGGAATTCTCTATCCAGCATTATAATGGTTCGATCAATCTACCTACCGCCGACTTACTGAGTGTGACGGCAAACAAATTAACACAGGGTCAGAAGTATGTCACATATTGTCAGAGTGGATTCCGGTCGATGATTGCGGCCACCTTCTTGCGAAGGGCAGGCTTTGATGTGGTTGATGTGCGAGGTGGATTTGATAGTATCATTGAGGTTGTGAGCGAGGATGAAATTTCTGCTGAAGTTCTGTGTCCTCGTAAGCAGAAATTGTTGGAAGAAAAGCTTAAGAATGAGCTTGAAGTGGCGAAAGCGTAGAAGGATCGAAAAACTGTGAGATTGAGCAATGTATGGGTATTGTTAACAAAGTTGATATTTGTAATGTATTCGCCTGATGTGCCCGAAATTAGAATTAAAAAAACTTAGAGAAACCCAGTATTTGTAATCCGTGCTGTGTGCATGTGTCACATATTCACTGGAACCGGGGTATTAGAGCAACTCGAGAATTGGATGCGGGCAAAAATAAGAGACGTGATATAGTTTTCTGAGAGTTTCTAGGAATCATTACACTCAGTTCTAAGCGTGCGTCGAAACTCAATCAGCAGTGCAGAACAGAGTGTTCCTTTTGAATTATCACATAGTGGTTGAAGTTGATTCTATTTATTTATTTTTCATGTATATCACTGCGATCATATTCGTTTCACTCCCTTTAAGTTGCCATTTCAGCTATCAGATATGGCAAGCTCACAAGATCAAGTCCACACTTGAAGCTTGCTTTTGACTGCGAACCCAATACTGTCAAAAAAGTACTTTTCGTCAAAATCGCGATCAATCCCTGCCCTATTTTGAACAACGATCTGACGATCTTAGTGTGACAATTTATGTTTTTTCCTGAGACACCGTCGTCATCGTCATTTACGTGATGCCCAGTTGAAATAATTGTCCATTCACCAAAGCAACTTTGTTAAATCTTTTCGTAGGTATCTCGCATATTCAGACTAAAATCGAAATCAACAGTACATAATTAATTTCGGCGTACTATTATTCTCCACCGCCGGATACCTTTCGCTCGTGCATGTGCTCTGCCGCATTGTCTCTGTTCACGGCTTCGGTCAGTAGACGCTTCAGTCGAGTGACATCCCGCATCACCTCCCACATTTCGTCCACCAAATTATTTCGCTTCCTATTTCTCTCTCGCTCGCGTTCGTGTTTGGCCTTGATCCCGTGAGAAGTATGATGTCTATGGATGGATGAGCAACATATGTAGCATACATCATGAATATCGTGAAAATCATTGCGAACGGCAAGATTCGTCGTGAAGCCGCCATTGACAGGCAATATGGACTGCAGTGGAACTGCCAAAAATTTAAAAGTCACAATCTCTAATTTCATCTTTAGCGTGTATATTCGTCGCATTAGTGCACAACCAAGCACACTACGATAGACGAGTCAGACGCGTATGTCTACCCACAACAACAATCCTCAGCATCCTCGTAAGCATACGATGCTAGCACACTGAGCATCCACTTACTTGAGTGTTTCATTACCGCCCGCTCCAAAAGCAGGAATTGAAGGTGATGCGATGCTGGAGAATTCACTGTTGTCCGTTGTCAGGCTCATACACGTTTTTAGTTGCTGCTGCGTGGATGAAGAGACCGGCCTTATGCTATAGTCTGGGCGAAGGTTGTCGGCCTCCGCTGCATTTGGCCCCTGGGGGTGGGATACTGTGACTGTGCGTAGTAGTCCATTTGATTTTACTTTGGCAGTCGAAGGATCTAGATTGTACGTGGGGAACACATATATAGAAAAATACATTTGTATTACATAGCGAATTCGAGTCTCTAGAACTGAAAGGATAACCAGGTGGAAACGACCCAACATGTAAAAGAGATTGCACACAGGATTAGTCCCGATATGAGAGAATTTGAGTATGACATACTATACTACACGAGTACATCTGTTTTCACTTAGTTTCTCAACAACTATGAACAATTAATAATGTGATTGTATATCCAAAAAAATATTTGGTGGCGACATAATCAATTATACAATTCAACCTACAGTACGTGGCCACAGTATTGATAGTATACGAAAGAATCGGTAACCCAATTAATAATGTGATTGTATATCCAAAAAAATATTTGGTGGCGACGTAATCAATTATACAATTCAACCTACAGTACGTGGCCACAGTATTGATAGTATACCAAAGCACGGAGTACCATTAGGTATACTAAACACTATTGAAGATATCTAAGGTATCTGTATATCAACTCTCTATGATACACACATAGTTACATCATGTTTAGGAAATGGGTGATTCAGACACAATCTAGTTTATAATAAAGCCTGTGTATGATTGTAGATACGCAAAAACTTTCAGTTCCGGGCGTGCGAGCTCCCAATAATTCAAGCATATTATATAAACGTAAGCCGTTCTCATAGTACATATACACCTGCGTGAGACTATAGAGTCCCAACATCTTCGCACAAACGAGCCGAGCTAACAGATACGAGTGATTTGTACAGTGAGCATTGTTTTAACTTCAGTGCGTGGCTGAAGGCAGAAGTGGTGCGAATATCGTGCGTGGGGTTCATCTCTTGTGTCGGATTGTGGGCTGCAAAACGAGATTTTCATAAATATTGTCGCACTGAGGCGTTGCCAGATTGAAATCGTTTATCCATAGCAAGTAATACTATAACTTGCTACAGCCAATTATCCTTTATAGAGTACCTCGACCAACAAGTGATAGTTCTCGAATCTATCTCAGATTGGCATTGAGCATTAAAACGCACGACATCCACACAAATACGTGTCACAACGACGCACAACTCTGTTCCTTTTCACGCCGACTACCACTCGGCGGAGATTGTAGCTTGAAACAAACCCGCAGTGACATACCTTCATACAAACTTGTACTGCTATTGTTCTGTCCAGTAGCTGAGTTTGCGTCTCGTCTAACAGCTTTGGCCGCTATCTCACTTTGCAGTCTGTCGAGCGTATCAGTTTTACGCATCAGGATCACTCGAATTTCGAAAGCCGTTGCGTTCTCATCCATGCCCAACCGAGTCAGTGAGGATGTGCGCTGCATTATACCGGGGGTGGGGGTGGGGTGGCCTGTCGTATTGGTGGTCGGATAAATGCAAGTTTTAAATATATTCGGCCAACAACACATGATATTGAAGAACCTTCTCCACACTCCCGGAGTAATATGTTGTGGAGCTCAAGCCTTTTTAATGATAGAGTACGAAGTAATAACAAGAGTGGTACTGTCTGAGCGCGTTTGTGGTGTTTATCATTCTAAGCTGAAGAAGCTTTGCTTTTTATGACCGAATTACCAACTCAGAATAAGCACGATGGCATTACGAGAACTCTCAATAAAAATCAAAGCCCAATAGATGCCCTTGTAGTAGTTTTATCTGAACCACAATTTTCGTGTGTAAGTTCGAAATCTCGACTATCTCGGTGAGAGAACAATTACATGTAGCACACAAGGAATGTGTGCTTGACTAGTTTAATCCCTTACCAGAACCCTGCTGGGCCTTGGGTTGCTGTTTCTGTTCCCTCTGCAGCGACAATGTGTAGTTTTCGGAGTCGGTATTAACACTGGCGCATTCCATGTAGATATGAACTCCAGGCTTGTTCTGGTATTGATACGACGACAAACGCTGGTAGTCTTGAAATTCTTCAATAATGCCACCCACACGCCTGTAGTAAATAGCCAGAAGTAATCAAACGCAAAGCTTTTAGTGTACGGCCGTGTGCATACAAAAGATCATCTTGGGGCTTTCCGATGCCTTCTATCACACCTCTGACTTTCACAACTCTAGCTTTCACGTCGCTAGTTGTACATATTTATACACTGTGTGCAACAGTCTCAAGAGAGCCGACTATGTGGTGCTATTTCAATTCTATATTTTTATCTATAATAGTGATTCAATTCGGTGCACGATTGTCTAGCGGGGTCCAGAAACGGTAGCACCACTGTGGGGAAAGTACATAGTAGGATTATATCGATTAGATTTTTATTGAAACTATCTCTGGCCTGTGCAAAACCTACCTTTCCATTTCTGCAGTCGATGATTGCAGCGCAAGGTATGTGTACGTTACGTCGGTCAAGTAGACGCCCAAATAGGGGATGCAGGGGAAGCCGGACTTCTTTAGCGTATCCCTATCGAAAAAATGTAGCAACAAATTTTCAACTCGGATTAATAGGCGAAAGCACGTCGGTAATCGAATTCTAGCAGGTATATCGCTCACCGAACTACACCAAAGAAGTCGAATGTAGCAAAACTTGCGTCTATCTGCCAGGGTGCTCAAAGATATGACCGTTCAGGTATATTTCGCAGAACCACATGTATTGCATCCGCTTGGACTTTTCTATTTACTTCTGCCTATATACTCGTGTACGGTGAGAACGCCCATTTGTTGCATTACTGTAACATACGACAGTGTACGCAGCTTGCTTCGATGATACCTGTAGTTCCTGTAGTTTTCTTCTTCTGACATTAGTGACCCCAGCTGCTCAAATGTTTTCTTCCTCTTCGCGTGAACGAGTGCCCAAGTTTTGCTTAGTCGGAAGATAGGCTGTACAATAGAATGAAAGTATTTCCTTGAGCACAAAATGAAGCGAGCACGGTTTTAGGAAAGTTTCGATATACGACATATTCACAAATTTGTCGAACAACAAGGAACGATCCAACAATTTGTCAAAACTAAACTCGTAATGCATTCTGGATCAAGCTACAATACTGATGTATCGCGAAAGAAGTTTGAAAAAAAAATAGTGTTAAAACCAAATATGTAGTTTCGCGTCTGTTGCAAGCTTTACCCCCGAGTTATACCCAGACTATCCCAAACCACAAACAGGAAACAGCCTCAGCAGTTCCAGGTATCAATGCCAAGACTTAACAGTGGACTGCTAACGTCTCGCAGCTTCTGTCCTCCTTCAACACCACCTCGTTTGTACGGCCTCGGTACTAACGGGTGCACGATATGCTGATAGGAACATATTGCAATAAGACTATACTTACCTGGCATTGTAAACCAGCCAGCACAGCTTTTAGGGAATTGTAGTTATTGTCCTGTGCAAGTCCGTCGGCGATTTTGATATATTTTTCTATGACTTCAGCTCGACCCTCCGCCGTCAGACGCAACAGGATCTCACTGATAAATAAATGCCAAATGGAGATAGTACTGATGCACTAAGTTGTCAGCTTGAGGTTATGCCTATGCTTGACTTGATGTGTGAGCGCTAGTGTGTGCGTTGAGTCTGTACTTTTGCTTTCTTCCGCAAGTAAGCGCATATCAAAATTCTGTTGGAAAATTTAGACATTCTTAATGTTGTATCTTGTGATTAATAAAGAGAAGATGATTTACTTTCAACTCATTCTATTAGATATTTTGTGCCCTAAATATTTCAAAGGCATTATCCTGCGTTAATAACGAGCTCTCACATGATACAATCGTGGTATACGCTAATATCAATATGCTCGCATATCAAGTCAGGTATAAACAAAAACGCCTCAAATCAAAAATGTTTAGCGAACAAAGCAGCGCCGTACCACACAAATATCAAACGCAAAGTTCAAGTTTCAGAATATCCAAAAGAACGGTGAGCGACTTAACGTTTAACACCTTTGACAACAGGTCCAACCGAATGAAACCAAAACATCACCGGCTACCAGCCAGAGTCACTGACATCAATCACCATCAGCTAAAATATTCGACAGTTGCAACGGCTAACATTTGTCATGCTGAATCACCAAGCAATACTCATAGAAAAACACAGAGCAGCATCTTGAAAACACACCTGGCAACGAGTAGAGCCAGGTAGTCGAAGCTGCGTATCATCGCCAGTATGTTTGGAGATGTCTCTTCCTTGCTCGGCTTTGACCACCCGCACTTTTGGAACTGAAGCATAATAGTAAAGATGGTGTCATAATAGGTTGTTGGGTAGCTCAATACAATACTGAATCACTATAGTCAGGATGATTGAAAATTCTACGTCATTCCTGAAGATAAGTATATGTGACTAGGTATTGTGAGCTTCTAGATGTGTTTATAGAGCGTATGAACACGTTTTGCTTCAATTTCACATGACTAACCATAAAACAACTTCCGAATATTTATCGAGGCACTCTAGTTTATACCAGTTAGACGACTCACCTCTGTGGCCTTGACGTTATATATCATCTTTGCGTCTGTTAGACAGCAGTGCTGCACAAAATCGTCTGTCTGTATGTAATTCGCCAGAAGTAGTGATTATATTAATTAAGTGACAACTCGCAACCGGTCTGAACTACAAACACCGACATTCACACACTTTCATCGCAGCGCTCTAGATCATCAGGCGTGGCTTAACTTAGACCAACAAATAGTTATGTACTGCCGCTTGTTGAAACTTAAAGGAATGTAAGAACATTCTAAACGAACGCGCAACAGCAGCGACAATAATCTTATTATCGTGCGAGTGTGACTAATTTGCTTGAGCAGCAGATGTAAGCTTGAACGAAAACTTACCCTTATTTGCATGATGTTTTTCGCTGGCAGTCTGGATGGAGCAGTAGGTGGCTTGAGGAGTGACGCACCCCCTTCAAATAGAAGACTGCGCGAATTCAGGCATTCGCCTATAATTAAAATAGGTGTACACGATCAGTACAGTTGTATAACATGCTGTCGTATGCGAATGATACCTGTGGTGAAGCAATTCGATCTAAAAATTCTGTTTTTAAAAAGTGTTGTATCCAGCCAGACTATGACTGCTATATATTCTTTTACCTTGTTCGTAAAACAATGTGTACTTAAATTTGTGGGTTCGCGATAGTATGCATGTGCAGAGCCATCTAATCGTGTTCAACACTCTAATATCGAATAAAGTCAGTGCATATCAAAGGTCACATCAACCTAGAGGAATTTATGCGTTTCGTTTGCATTCTGGATGAGACATACTTGATAACGAATCGAGCGGGCCCCATTCCTGTGAGATACTACCCACACCCTTGCACGAGCCGATAGAGACGGTTCGATGTGCCTTGAGTGCTTTCGGATTTGAAGGTTTGGTTTTCAGTAGTCGCCACGAGCCGGATGTTTTTCTGAGAGTTTCCAAAGGAGTGATGTTGAACAAAATTTTAATACTTTATCAAGAGATAATGAGTGTATAGCCAGCCATGTAGTGATATCACATGCAGATTAGGAACGTGTACTGAAGTGTGGATTGAGTTCAGTCGCAAAACAGCAATCGCAATGGGCCTTTATAAGCTGCCATATTACATAAAACGAAAAGCTGTAATAAGAATATCCTCCTGTGAATCATGCAGCTGAGGTCATTGAACCGCGATACACGTCTTTCATTGTAAACAGGTACAATTCTACCTACGTACCAAAAAGTGCAAAAAAGAATTTTTAAGTGTCTGACCTTTCTTGTCCCTCGAACGTTCGTAGTGGCGATCCACTCGGCCTACTCTCATGCTTCAGTTCGAGAGACGAGGTGCGTTGATGAGTGCTTGATCGGCTTCTGCCGCATTCAGCACCATCCTTACTGCCGTTGCGCCTGTGTGTTTGAGGCTAGAGATCATGCACAGAATAAGATTTTAGCAAATCGCGTGGACGATGATCTTTAACGGGTTGCCACAAACAACCTACTAACATCTTGTAGTCCATCACTCACACCGTCAAGTGACAATCCCTTCAAGGGCGCAAATACATGTTTGCACGCGTGCTGTAAAAATGGTCTAGCACACTAATGCACAAACTTTGTGCTTTAAACATGGTCAAATGTGGTGTGAAAAAAGACTTGGGCAACCGTATGATGCGCCAGTACAGAGAAGATATAATGTAGTACGATTAGATATACAAGTTGAAGTATAGATGACTCCCGTAATATAGCATTCCACAATAGCTCATCTCCTAATCACTGGGTGACACAACGGTGGTGAGTTGTACTCTACACTGCAACCTATAATTGCAAGAATTTGTACTCTACCTTCAAAAGAAATTTCAACCTCGCTTCGATTCTACACCGAGACCAAATATCTGAAAAATGAACTTACTGATTGATACGTGTTGACAGGCGGTGACAGAGACGCGACAATTCTTGTAGGCTGTATTTGATCTAGGTGTGACAACAAATCAGCATCACCTGATACAATATGACCGTTACAAGTAATTGTCCGCCTAGGATTGCAATCACCGGTAGAGCACATACAGTTACTGACAGGCGACAATTGGGACGTGTCAGAGTGTGTTCGCGAATGTTTAGCCTGTATGGGCGTTTGTAGTTCTTCCTGCTTGCCTATACTTTCCTTCGTTACAATTTTCATGCACGAATTCTTGGTACTAGCTGATATGTATTCTCGTTCCTGCGAATCAGTACTCCTCAAGACATTACCATTCCTATGTGATTTCTGCCCGTGCGGTATACTCTGACTCTGGCTGACGGCGCCCGTCCTTCCTTCATTGCATCCGTTGCCAGAACCTTCACTTCCTTGTTCGTCAATATGTATTGTGTGGGTCTGTACAGTCCTCCTCGTCGTGCCATCTCCCGAGCACCCAACCAATACAGTTGGGATTTGCTTCACAATACCGCTGCCACTGATTCTGCGCGTGCCGTCGTCATCACCCGCACTGCTACACTGCTTGATTGTGCTCTTCACATTCGTCTGCGTATGCTTGATTCCACACGAAGTCTTCGTCCCACCCGACCTATCCTTGGCCACGCGTGCAGAAGAGTTTGATATCGTACGCACTGTAGAGACTGTTCGAGGGTCCCCCACACTCCTTCGTTTCTGGTAGTAATCGGCAGTGCGTGAATCTTGCACTCTAACCTTCAAACCGCCAATCGACTGCGTGATGTTGAGAAAGTACGAGCAATTTTGAGACGTGAAACGAAATGTCAGACAGTGCATCTGACAAGAATGTTGAAATTCAAAAATGGTTTGACCTCAATCGGTGTTCAGGCTATACGAAGGCGTAAGCACTCGATTAGACACATGTTTTCATATAAATTGCATGTAAGACGGCTAGGACAGATTAATTTTATGATGATAACAATGCAATACTACCTTTACAGCATCAAGACATATCGGGCGCTGTGAGCTTTGCGCTAGTGTTCGCAGTGGCGCCTGTGTACAAAGGGTGCATTCTACACAACTGAAGCAACTACTTTAGCAGCTAACAGTTTGCAACAATACATTGAGAATAATATACAACAATCACCAGTTGCAGCTGAGAATCAGAGTAGCTTCAGTGGCTCAGTGACACCTAGAATCGTACCAGTTGAGTTTTGGATAGAGCTGGATTTGTGGTTGCAAATGCGGTCAGTCTTCTCTGACCCAACCCAGATGGCACCCTTCTGCTAGCACCATTGAGTTGCGGAAGAATAGCCGGTGTTCTACCGATACCATTCAGAGCTGTACTCTCGTAGGTAGACCCCTGTGATTGTGTGTTTCTCAGTGTTCCTGCACTCGATGCGACGCTAAACCCGCTTGAGCACGCATTTGAAGTTGTGCATGAATATACAGAACGATCGACTTTGTTGGTATCGATGCAGGATATCTTGCAAGGTGCTTGACATCGATATATTGGAACTTCTGCAGAGTGCATAAGCGGCACGTATACGCACGATTGTATTAGATGCGCTGTTGTAGGGTTGCCACTTGTAGATCTGTGGGGGTAAGCGCCCGGTCCAGAACAAACACGATGTGATCCGTGTGTGCCTTTCGCTGCGTGTGGATTAGGATGTATGGGGGAAGACGGTGAACGCGGACGTCTGCACTCTGGTTTTGTGCTGCACGACGGTAGTACGATGGACTTGCAGAGAGTCCGCTTCAGGTGGGTGATTAGTGGGGAACCAACAGATTTGCCTAAATGTGCGCAAACAAATGAAGATGGTATATGATCCATGACTTTTACGAAAGGATCGATAGACTTCCAGTAAGCTGGACGACACTTATACATAAAGTCAATTGGGTGCTTCAGTCAACGTCGTGAAGTGCTCGGGATGCAAGAATGCAACCAACACCCAGAGATGGATGACTGGCTCTGCTTCGCTTTGAAAATCACTTCGTATCGGAGACACACAGTGAGATATCGGGTTGTATCTCGCATCTAGAGAAGCTTAACAACTAGTCCTACATGCGGTGGCGCCTCGCTATCAGGACCCACACGGATCCAACAAACTTACTTCGTATTGACGCAATTTTTTCTTCTGATGTCGCACCAAGACTGTCCATTGCATCACAGCTGGCAGAATTGAATAAATTCTTCATTCGACTCGGACCGTCATCATTCAATGGTGCCCGCTGCGCGTGTGACTGCAGCATTGAAGCAAATTTGAGCTGCTTGGAACTGACCCTCATATAACTGTTTTGCAGATTTAGGCGCATGCCATTTGTCCAAAAAAAAAACCCCCCATTCCAAAAACATATCTCTACATAATTTAATATTTACATGTGCTTATTGACTTTTGGAACGAAGTGAAACTTTGAACTACACGAAGTGCCTATTCTCTGAACTACATGAAGTGCCTATTTTGTACAATATGGGCAGAGTTGGAGACAAAGCCGATAGGAACGCCATTCATACACGCATAATTTCTCAAAGCTGTAGCAGTGTATAACGTACGTCGACGACATACTTGTGTGTATGCGTACATGTCGTATGGGACTGATGTAGATGTCGCGAGAGTCAGTTGGCCCGAGTCCACAGCAAGCATTTTAGTGTCAGAGCCCGATCTCGCGTACTTCCGTCCCTGAGTGTGTATGTCGGAGATGCTTTTGAGCTGTTGCCCCTTATCCTTGACCACATGCGCACTGATATATTTGTTGCCCTGAATACTGGCAGCGACATCTTGGGCATTTTGCACCACATCAAAGTTGAAATCATCCACCAGATGTACGTGTGTTGTACTGTCGGTCCTTCTGCGGGTTGAGGGTGAGGTGGATGGTATGTATGTATTGGACGACTTGTGGCTGTGTGTTTGCGCTCGGGTGCGTGAAGATTCGTCGAGGTGCACGGCAGATACATTGCTCGAGTACGTGACTTCGTCAGCTTCCAAAGGCGTCGACAGTGGCGTGCTTGTGAGCGACCGATATTCGAGAGGCAACGGTGCTAGAGGCGGCGTTTGTTTGTACTTTGAGATCTTCGGTCTGTGGTTAAAAACATTTCAAGTATTAAGTAGTCGTGCGGAAGGCTACGATTTCGAGACTGCGAAGTCTGCCAACATTTTTGAACAATTGATACAACAGTGTTGCGTAGCTAAAGTTGCGTAGATATCGCCAAATTGGTTCACTTTCGCCAGTTTACAACCTATTACAACCGCTTAATAAGCAAATCCCACAAGGCCGATCATAGGCGTATACACGTATCCGCCGGATTTAAAGTGAATTCACCTAAAACGACATTCAAATCCTGATCTTACCTTCTAGAACACTCATATATTTGTCTTTCACGCATTACACTATAGGCCTAGCACCCGAACCGGTACCGCATGTGCCCATCTTCATTAGTATCAAGAAAGTATCGGTAGAATATCGGCGCTGTCTCTAGAAATCAATTTAAGAGAAATCAAAACTTACGATCTTTTCCAGGGGTTCTTGAAAACTGCAGATATTCTTTTCACCTTCGTGTCGGGCAAGACATTCCCGCCAACAGTTTTACGCCAATACGAGCCTTCAAGCATGACCCGATCAAGTGAAATCTTATCCTTCACGATGTCTGTGATAGATATAGAAATGAATAAATAAATACTTCGATGAGCACTCATCCTTCTAAATATTGACGTTCTAGAGGAAAATAACAGTATGCATTCAGAACTATATTTAAGCTCGTCTGTTCATTGTAAATGCATATCTATGCGGCGCATGAAACCCACTCAGAAAGTATTGGAAAGGGAGTATTGTATGGCATAACCTATTTTATAAAGTATTTGGAGGATCTACGTCGAATGTTCACGAGATATCAGAAATTTTCATTCGGTTTTGAGAACGTTCAGAATTTTCGATCATATTAGCATATAACTAATAAAAGAATCGATACCCACAAAGACAGTAGCCATCTTTTTGCAATATCCGCACTCTATCTTATTGTTCATATACACGTACCGCACATAATCAGGTCCACGAGGGTCTGAGCCGCTACCAGCACAACGTTGCAACTGTCCCAAAGTAGCGAAAGATGCATGGCATCGGGGCTTCTACTTACTTCCGTCGCTGTGATATTCCGAAGAAAAATGTAAATTCTACAATTGGCCATAAGCTTGGTGTGCAAGTAGACATATAATAATTAACCCAAATTGAATTAAATAATAATATCCCTATTCTCATATTCAACATCACGCAGTATTTCTACCGCAGCAGAGTCAAACAAGAAAACACGAGGCGAAGAACTAAATTGATATAGGGTAGATGGTCTGCATGGGTTACACATGCAGTGAAAAGGCATCAATGAGATTGAAAGGAGCGCGGGTACAGTCTGACACAGTTGCTATCACATAATTGCTGCATCAAAAACAGCTTACTAGGACTATAAGTAGTCGTTGAACCAGAACAAGAGATATACTCTACTTTCACATATCCTTTCTCTTACTTACGGCATTATTAAATTACCTTCAAAAGGTATGACTTAAATTAAGTTGGGCACTGACATGCGCCTAATCATCGTTATGTGCCATATTGTAAACACACAAGCTCGCAACATCGTCAAAATGTTTTCCAATACGAGACCATCACACGACATGTCGTACTCAGGACGTTGGCGGCTCTGAGAACATTATCTCGCACTTTTTGAAACTGATGCTGGCCGACAACTGCTGCTATTGCGGCATCGCTATCACTGGACGTATTCGTCTGCAGGGCAAGACTGTGGTAGCACGTGCCAGCATATACACACTCCTGGATACTGCAAGCATGCGGTATTTGACAAAATGTGAGACGATGATACAGATATAAGTACCTAGTCTGACTTTATACTTATATGTATGTATTCATTTCGCGTAAATGTGAGCGTCTTAGTACGTTTTAGTTTGAGCTCTAGTCGTATAACTTTGCGGTTAGTTTTAGCTCACGATGTTCCTAATTCTGCAGATATTAGAATTGTAACATGGATTGTTGAGTTGGTACTACGGATATGAAAGCACTCTCAATACAATATTGTTCTGGGATTTGATAATATACAACGATGTGATAAACTTGCTAAGAAAAACAATATGCATACACCTAGATTAAATACGTAAACAACTACATAGTGTGTACTTTAAATTCCGGAACAATTATAGACACTTGCATGCATATACAGCTGGCTAAACTACACAGATCTATATCATTTTCGAGAGCGTTTACTACCATTGCCGTGCTCAGACAGGTACAAAGATTTGAATATCGACACTGTCTATTACACTAGAGGATTTGACTATAGCTACAGAGCTCATCAGATAGTCCGTTGTTGCAAATTTCACTTGTGACCACGCCAAATCTCCAATCGAAATATTCTAGAGATCCCCAAAGATTCATAGTAGATGCAGGGACTTTCACACCAATACCTCTGCTGTATGCGCGAAACGGCCTCGTAAGTTCTTTCCGGCGCCTCACTCTTGGCGACAATAGAAATACGTACCGCCAGCTCACGTTCGAATGCACGCACAACGACTCGCATGGGATCCGAGTACGCAGCGGTACCCATGCCCAGAAGCGAACGGCGCTGTGTGTCGATAGTTTTGGCCCACAGTTGCGAGAGCGACCCGTCATTATGCACATGTGCAAAGGTTGTCGCGCGACTACTGCCTAATCCCGATACCTCAATCACTTTTGGATACGGAAGAATAGACAACATTAACATCCTTTGCTAGAAGTCAAATGCAAACTAAGCAAGCAAAACTGCGGTGTAGTTATGCGTAACCAATCGAAGTGTATAAAATTTTCCCTCAAATGTCAACCAAGCAAACGAAACTGCGCTAAAGATATGCAAAACCAATTGATGTGCCTTAAATATGTACTCAAATGTCAACTAACCAAGCGAAACTGCGCTGTAGGTATGCGAAACCATGTAATATGCCTTAAATTGACACTTTTGATATTAGCCACACAGGAAACTGTAGTCCTGATCCTTGCCCAAATGCCACAGGCTTGTGAACCCGTCAATGCTAAACTACCGTTAATCACAAGTTGATACCGGATTGATACTAGCACTGGTAGTAAAACGTTGAAAACGTCTACACAAAAACTCGCACAACGTCTGCATTTTGTATGCGACTTTAGGTGTAGAGACAAGAGCAACATTTCAGCAAGTTGTATTCCAAATAAATTCGCTAAAGTTCAAATTCAAATTCGAAACACTATATGATTCATTATCACTCACTAGGTTGTATTGACAATATTTTCGAAATTGCTCACAACACAAAAGCCAATTTGACGATCAACATGCACCAGTAGCGCTAACATATATATTTAAAATGTATCTCACATCCCAATTGCGCGCCATGAATATACTTTGTATACATCATACCTCCATTCCCCAGATCTTTACAGGCAACCTGTTGGTTGGGAACAGCCCTACACAGATTGTATTGAATTTGAATTGTCTCGTGCGCCTCCGCTGCCTTCATGGCGATCGTCACCAAAAGCAAGTCACTACAGAGCTCAGAAATAGGCAAAATTAGAAGCAGTTTTTGTTGAAGCTAACACAGATAAACCACCTACGTGTGCTGGTAACTGGCATCCAAGAATATCAAACTGCAGTCATGACTCTGTAAATGTAATTACATATGTAAGTACCCCTCTGATTCTCACATTGAAATATAAACTATATAAAGCGAAATACCTCCAGTAGCTCATGTCTTCATACAGTGTTTGCGTGAAATTATCCGTGCGATAAGTTAACCGATTTGAGACATGTACAAACATCAATTTGGACAAACAATGCAAATAAGTGCGATTGTACAATTCACTATCCTGTCATATAACCCGTAATAAACTCACCTTAATAGCCATACTGTGTAGCCGCGTCCATCCGAGCCCTTAAAATCGGTAACAATGAGTACTTGTCTGTTCAGGGAATTCAACGACTGCATGTAAATATGTAAAATTTGAATGACGTTAGCACTAATAAGTCTTTGGCAATGCAGCCGCCAATAGAATAATATATATACCACACAGACGTAGCTATTATGTAAATATAGAAATTAATA